CTGTGATGCGTGCTACTTATATTGAAATAAGTAGTATATAACACGAGTCAGGAATGTAATGTCTGGCAGCAGAAGATTGGGAAGATCAAGAAAGGAAGAACGGAAATAGAAAGCAATTAGTATGGAAATGCAAGAACAATGAAGTACAAGACAATTATTGAAACATTTTGCAAATTAAGTATTCTAGTAGGGTTTTTCTATTTTTACCAAGTAACTCTCATGTTGTGCTAAATATTAGTCGGTTGTCCTCACTTGTGTTCTCCTTCACTAAAAAACTAAAATGAATTAGTGGAGGTTTGATATGTCAGGCGTAAATAAGGATACAGGCAGGGGGATAATCAAATGTATTTGAATACTCAAAAACTCTGAGAACTATACAGTGAATATTTCATTAGCAAAATGTTGATTAATCATCTCAGACTTGATTATTCCTTCGTTTCCACACTAATCATTCTCTTTTCTTTGATTTTCTTAACATTCTGTCACCACTCACTTCACTTTCTATTGATGATGCGTACTATCTATATATATCGACATCAGTGGCATACATCACAACGTCAGGAGTAAAATAGTTCTCAACATGGTTGTTGAGTAATCTTTACGTGTTATCAATATATTGATTATTGTTGATAATGTAGAGTACCATGGAATACCAACCCATTGGTTCGAATGATTAGAAAGTTATTCAGAAGACCTGATGGTTTATCGGCTGTGTTCTTAGTGGGGTTGATGTTGACTGCTGCCAAACAGTGGAATACCATAAGCAAAGACGGATAGTGGCTAGCAGTGGGATCCAGGACGCGTGTTTCATCCTATTTGGGACTCTTCAGACGGATGTACCTGCATCTCCGAGTTGATGTTCACTCCACGACTTGAACTCAGTACTATTCGATTCCAATGCCATCGCGTTTTCCACTTAGGACTCAGTAGTGAATATCTGGAATGCAGGTACATTTAGCTGAAGAGTCCCAAATGGGACGAAACGCGCATTCTTGATTTCACTACTTTCCACCATCCGTCTTTGCTTATAATGTTTCTAACTTAAGGCAATACACACAGTATGCATATATATGCCAATAAGAGACTGATCAATTGCCGTCGTAAATATCAACAGGAAGACTCAAGTAAACAATACCAAGTGAGTGTAATACTATGCTCTTTGGCTTTCAATAATACGCTAAATCAGATTAATCTATGACGAATATAACCTACATAACAAATAATTGTTCGACTAGTTATAGACGGTATTCAGCAATATTATCTAAACTAATATCAATTCGTTTATCATTCAAAAAACATACAAATTAAACTGATCTTCGCAATTACATGTCTAATAATATGCCATAACTAGAAGAATTCATCTACGTTAAGATTGTGATAGTTATTACCAACATTATTGGATAATCGTAGAAAGTTAATTCAAGATACAAGTATGGAATAGTTTAGCCATAAAATTACACTTCATGACAAATCACATTCGTTCAAATCCTGATAAGCACTTTGAAGTGAGTTTTCACATACCAAGACAAAATTACTATTAAATTACACTTTGATTATCAATGCTATCTCAACTAATATTGATTTATGACAAATATAATCTACAAATTATTATTCGTAAAATCTTAGTCAAACAATTATTTCCAGAAGGGGCTTTGTGGAGGTTTTAGAAATTTCACTAGTTGAAATCATGAGTCAATTGAAGCTAGACCATCATGGGAAACCTGGGAGCGATGAACGGCTGTTTCATTCTAGTATGGGACACCTCACCAGTACGCATCCACGATCCCGCCCTCCGCGAGATTCGAACCCAAGACCTATCAGTCTCGAGCGCGAGTGCTTAGTCATTGTTCACCTTCATTACTAACCATTATCATCATCATCATCTGTTATGTTAAAATCTTTGAAAATAGGCTTGTTTTAATTTCAAACTCTTTAACCAATATACATTCATCTTTATTACTGAAGTCAATTAAATCTTGGTTATCATTTAAACAATGTGTATTCTTGGTGATTATTTAATCAATTCAATCTTAATTCATTCTATGACCTGATGTTTACAAATACTAGAACAGTATACTATTATCGATTATTTGAAAGACACTATTTGCTTGATATTTTGTAGTTATTGTTAAAGTAAGCTTATACTGTTTAGTTTCAGAATGCGAGTTTATGGAGATTGTAGTAATTTAATAGTTAAATTCATGAGTAGATTAGAGTTAGACCATTATGGAAAACCTGAAAGCATTGGACGACCGTTTCGTTTTAGCATGGGACTCCTTCTCAACAGTGCGCATCTATGTACCTACTCGCGGGATTCTAATCCAGAACCTTCAGTCTCGCTCACGAACACTTAACCTCTAGACCACTGAGCTTTAAGAGGTACTTACTGGAGTTCTAGTGAGAGTTTGCATGAGACGTCGAACGTTGTATGTTCGAGTCCCTCGTACGGGACGGATGAAACGGCCGTCCTGTACTTCCAGGTGTTCCATGGTTGTCTAGTTGTAATCGGCTCATCAATTCAATTAATAATGAATAAACAATTAAATTATTATTTACTTAATTATACCAATGTAAAAACACGCTATTTCATGATCACTAGTCAGATGATTGTTTCTTTTTGAATCATGCAACAAACTAGTGAGTAATTCGTTTTTGTAAATAATTTTCAGATCAGTTATTTTCAATGAAACGACTTATGTTTGTTTATACAAAATATGAGATAAACAATTCTGTATGATGTAAAGTACACCATACTGGTCACTGTTATAACTTGTGGGTTTGTACCCTTATCAATGTAATAACGTAATGATACCGCCAATTAGAGAATAGTGGCTTATCAACCGAGCTAATGACGCATAAAACCCATACGAGCAGTCTAGAATTTTTATCGGTTTTGCTTCTCGCTTAGCTCTGCCTGTTGAGTCCAGAACACAAATATCAGCCTCTACGATATGGATTATTTATTTCAAACATACTGTGTTTATATACAGACAAACCAGATCATATCATACCATAAAATAGCAAACAACATTTGTACAATATTTAGTCCAAAGTGGTTGTGAATGTGGGAGACTGGGCGTTACGTATAGTATTAGTCCAGAAATAGATTCCAATAACTACCATTCATTATTCTCATCGGGATATAACAGTCACCAACTGTTAAGAAGATCGTAGTGTAACGAACGAAGACTTAATTGGATCATAATCATCCATGCTGATGGAAATTACCCATTACATTTGTTAAATATGAAAACAATATATTAAATGCACCATTTGCATTAATTATACCTTACAGATTCCCTGGTTCTTCCATTTTTATTGTCACCCCAATTGATTTATGTTTTCATTTGTTTTCTTTTCTGTCAGTAAGTTGTACTTCCAGTTCCCGCTACATACTACTTATGTCTGTCCATATAAGGAGTATACACTACGGTAATACAATTACTTTCAGTTAACCATCAACCTCATTACCTTGTATAGATTTTTTTGTGTGTAGTAAACAATGTCATATTTCTTTATGTTAAAAAGAACAGTGATTATGAAGTTATAGAAATGATAGATTTCTGAATAATGGAGTAATGCAGATGTAAATATAAATTACATTTTAAAAGTTTTAGAGCCCGGTTAGCGTTTGTCAATTTGCGTCACTTTTGACGTAGGTGAGTTGTCCATTTCTCAATCGAAGGGTGTACATGATTTACAGCAATCCTGTCTGTTCTACTCTATAACTATGAAAAATTATCTGTGAAAGTAGAAGGCGTAAATACGCTGAAGAATATCGAAGTATTGCTCACATTTTATGGAATGGACGAGTACGCGATATTAAGGTTAGGTAAAGGCTATTTTTTAAAAGTGACAAGTCGGCTGATGAGGTATTGAGACTTCATTGCCTGAGGTGATTAGAATATGTGTCACGTATGCCTAACCATCGCCTACCTCGACGGACGATGCTTTCTACTGTAGAGATAAGTTGTAAGAAAGCTAGGCGAAGCTAAATCAAAACGTGTCGTCAGTCCGTGTAGTCATTGATTGTTGGTTTCAGCCATGTTAGGAAATTATCTGGTAAGGCTCTGTGAGATAATTACGATCAGAATTTGGACACATCGGGTAAAACGGTTCAGAATTGTTCATTTTAGTATAGATACATTCACTCTATCTTCCTTTCCATCTTGGGTTCCAAGACTTTACTGATACTAGCTAAGCTCAAACCTGGTCCATTAAAACCCAGACTTTTAGTGTCTAATTCACAAGGCTAATTTATAAATATAAATGAATTTCTAATTATGTCATCTTGCTTGTAAAAGTAGCAAATAAATTTTTGGTTGACCTATAAAGTATTAATGGCCGAAATAGAGAATAATACGATGTATTTTGAAGTGATTGTACGGTCATTTGAGACATACAGTACCAGCCGTAAAAAGAATAAACATTCTCCATATGCCATCTTAAAGTAACTGGCGTATCCATCCGTAGTACAGTTAATGCAACTTAGTTATTGAAGTGTAAGCCATACTATTTTACATGACAGCCACTCAAAGTGAAGTACACGATTTTTATTTATTTGAACACATAAGTATTGGTACAAAGGGGCATCGAGTACACATGCGCCATACAAGTCTCTCGATTTGTGTGTGGGCTGTGTTACGGCCTGAATACCCAAACCGAAGCAGGTGGTTTTCTTAGGTCACACCCAGAGCCTTCGACCTAAATGTCTGATCCACAACGCAGTGGAGCAACATCAGGAGATGCAGTCCCATGGTACCCGATGAGCAACAGTAACTCTGTACGCCATTTGTTCACTCAAGATTCTGGAGACCATGTGCACCATTGGTGTTGAGTAAGGGTTTTCCAACTCCCCTAGGTGAATTCTGTATATCCACCAACCCGATTAAAGAGTCAGGCGTTCGCTTCTCGTCCTCTCAATTTCATAAACAGTAATGCCGCGAGAAGGCAGTGAGTAGGACTTCCTTGGCAGTGGTTGTATACTTGTGGCCATGTGAGAGCATTTCGAGAGGGAGAGCTAACTCGTCCCACTTCCGGCCTTACCAGGGCATTTGAGGGCTACACGAATGATTGTTTGAACCTACAATTGAACGATTGCAAGTAGAATGCTTTAATCCCTCAACCACCACTATTTGAATGCATAACCTGGTTACTGATAAGCCAAGTATCTAATTTACAATTTATATTTTATAAAGTTCATTTAACTTATTCGAACACCAGATGTAATATTGTCAAACCATTGACACAGCAGTCATAAATTCGCTACAATGTTCCCCGATGGATAATCTCAGTATAAAAAAAACCCAACAACAACACAACAACAGATCACATTGAAATCGGACTAAATCCAAAGCCAACTATATGTTCAAAGTAATTATTCATTATTATGAATAATCAACAGTGAATAATATTCCAATAATAATAATAATAGTAACTTAGATACAAGGAAAGGAACAAGAACTAATATAAAAATGCAAAAAAAAGTATGAAATGCATATGATATATCTAACCTATCAGTGAGATGATAGGGGGGATAGTGTGTTCAGGAAATATGATGAATATTCTTATCTATAGTAGTAAACTATTTTAATTTCAAAGAACAAAACTTGATCTAAATTATCTATCACATAGATCTAGATGGAAAACAGAATTTCATGTAAGAGAACTATCTACAATCAATCTATTCATGATGATGATGATTGTCTTGGATACAATATATTAGTAAACATATGTAAAACTTGTTTAATTTCAATTGGTGTAATAGGTGATGTTAAATTAATATTTAATTTTTGTCGATTAAATAAAATCATATCAATTATATCTAAGATATCACCATTTAATAAATAAGCAAGTATATGTAAACCTTCATGAGGTGATGATGATGATGAGGATGACCTAGATGATACTGACGAATCGATGGTCAAAGAAGATGATGACAATGAAGAGGAGAAGGAGGAGGTCGTCGTCATCGTCGTCGTCGTAGTAGTAGTAGTAGAACATGTCATACTATTATGTAACATTTTCAAATATTGTTCATTGATAGTTTTCAATGTAATTTTATTTTCATCATGATTATGATTATGATTATTATTATTCAATGTACAATAGTAAAACCAATAAAGAAATTTTTTTAAATTACATGATTTAGTTAAATTTAATAAACTAGCTGATTGTCTTAAACGATGAAATGATAAAAATTTCTCAATAGATTCATTACATGTCATTAAATCAATTCTTGTTAAACGTAATAATTTACCTTTATATAATTGATAATAAATTTGTTTGAATTTCAATGGATACAATTGCCAAAATGAATTATCCTTATGATCATCATGATGATGATGATGAATAGTTGGTAAAGGGATAGATAATTGATGAAATAATTTATTTAAACGTATCCAATTTGAATTGTTATGAGGGAGAAAAGAATTGAAACATTTAGAATTAGGTAATATATGATTTGGTTTTCTTATATTATCATCATCATCATCATCATCACCGTCGTCGTCGTCGTCGTCGTCGTCGTCACGACCGTCGTCATCATCATCATCATTGATAAATGATGATAATTGTTTTTCATTCATTATACTTAATCCATTTGTTTTAATAAATGAACTAGTACATATTGTACGAAAATATTTTACAATTCTAATTAAACGAATAGGTTGATATTTGCATAAATTTAATAAATCATATAATTCTGGTAATTTAGTTGTGGATAAATAGAATAACATTTGATTAGCATTTATACGTATATAATCATAAATTAATTCTAATACAAGATCAGATGTATGAAATGATTCACCGGAACTAATTAAAATTTTTTGAATGATCTCTTTAATAGAAGATTTTAAACAAGTCTGTAAAATGAATGTTGTTGTTTTATTTTTTAAGAAAAAAAAAAGAAGAAAAAAACAAACAAACAAACAAACATGTTTACGATAGAACAATTAGAAAAACAGAAACTGTTATGGATATATTAACTACAACAAATTGAATGTCAGTCAAAGTCAGCTACAACGTAGAACCAGGCACATATATACATCGGTCCAAGTTGTCATACCTTATTAACACAACGAGATGGACACCGGATACATAAAAGTAGTTAATTCAGAGGTGGTAATATATAAAAGAATGATTGCATACAAGGATGTAGTACAGGAAGAAAGAATTAGTTGGTAGAAAGAAAGATACGAAGCGATTTTAACCTCAGTGTTTAAGAGAAGACAGAGTGTGTATACACCTACGCCATTGTGAACGATTCTGAGCCATGTCACCAAGAGTCTCCAACCATTATTCAGAATAGTCACGAGGACCCCAACCAAGTAGTCTACATTTACCAACATGGCTCAGACTATAAGTTAGTGACTTCAAGCACTGATGCCACGTTTTGGATTGGCCACCCCTAACCTTCCAACCATCTCCAACACCGGTTAGCATTGCACGTCGTGGTAATCGGTGTTCGGGCGTACGTAACACGCGGCCCAACCATCTCAGTCGATGGAGATTCGCAACCTCATCAACTGATTTACCATCATTTCCTAATACCCTGCGTCTAACCTCACTATTACTCACCCGGTGATCCCAGCAGACGCCATCAATATTCAATGAAAGACAAACAAACAAACAATGGGATAATCGAAATGATAATAGAATCAGGAAGGATCAGTTATCAAATCTTAATTAAATGGGTGTTGGAAAACCAAGTTATCATTTCTATTACTAATCCTTCATCTCATTTACACAGTAGAATTTTATGTACTTAGCATTGAATCATTAAATTGTATCCCGAGGGAAATTCTGAAGGAGAACAGAAAAGAGAAAGACTAAATAACGCACTGCATCGTGAATCAAAAGCACAGGAAAATAATTTTCCAGAACACAGTTGGATGGAGAATGTTGGTGAGTGGCCTATGCTAACAGACGTAAGGAAGTTTGAATCACAATATTTTTTGAGGGGTAGTAATCTTACAAGTGGCTAAAAGGAATTAAGTCCGATGAGACTTGAAATCATTCCTCAAACGAACAGATTTCGAAACTAGGACCTAGAGGTCAAAATTCGAACGTCCTAACAACTAAGCACTGACATATTTCAGTCTTATATATAGATCTTTTATATCAGAGGACTATATCATAACGTGACCAGTTGTTCGCTTTGTACACTCAGTCCCTGCATCGGTAAATAATATGTGATGTGAAAGTCGGCGAGATGACATGGTCAAGTAGGTTACATATTCGAACTCGACCACCCTATCTTAGTTCAGGTAACTACGTGGTATCACTGACACTCACATCTAATTTGAGATCTGAAGTTTAGTACAGAGATCTCTATTTGGCAAATACACCACTTCAGTATCGGTTAGAATTGTTTATTACTACATCTGGTTGTGCCTTAAATTGAATGCGTTTTTTTAGAAACAAGACCACTGAGATACTGTATACCAAGTCAATGAAAACATAACAGTTATAAATACGTAATTCATAAACCTACCATTATACAGTGTCATATAAGACAATGAGGGAACCAGGGAAATTCACGAGGTGTATATAGAAATAATTCTGTAAGATAGATATTTCAAAAATAATTCGTTTTCAACGTCGTGATTAATATTTCGGTCTTTCTGTAGAAAACAAAAAAGTGACACGAGTAAAAATCATATACAGTGGATAATCTAAAAAAATTTTCATTCTGTAATTTAATATAAGGCACTTAGTTCCCTTGAAGGACTACTTTCTCTGAACTTTAGGTGGGAATGTTTTATCCGTCATTGTGGAGCAACACTAAGAGGTAATATTCCATTATTAATCATGATAAGACCAGGTTCATATTTCACTGGTCTGTCCAGATCCTGGGGCTGACAATACACGATAGGTTAGCAACCAAGGTTTTTAAACCCCGTTGCATTAACACGTCTGCTTAGTTTTGCGAAGTCGGAGAGTAGAGCTTTCCTGGAAGAGGCTATAATGTGAGACCAAGAAAGTTTTCAGTGGTCAAACTTCTATCCAATGACTGCTGTTAAAGAAAAATAACCGTTAAAAAGAATTAGGGTGAAACTATAAATTATGGACGACCTTTGAGGGACGCTAAAGTGACTTTGATGATGTCCACCTATTAGCTAGCACGAAATGAGAATTACAAATAGTTGCGATGAATCAAAATTATGACTCGCAATCGATAGTTGGGATTAAGAGTTAGATTCAGGGCTTTCACCACAAACTGACATAAGCTAAAATGCCAAAACGCTATTTAGCCAAATGGATGAATGAGTTACGTGCCAAAACCCAGGACCGTCCGAGCTCCCAATTTTGAGGAAAATTTGACTCATTTTGGGGAAGCCGCTATAGTGAACTTTAGGGAAGTTTTGAGGTTTATGTGCCATTTCCCCAGACCTGGAGAAATTCCCCAATATTTCCCCAAAACTCCCCTTTAAACTTGGTCAAGGTTATCTGACTTTGAAAATTCCCCCAAACTTGGGAGCTCGGGCAGTTATCTTACATGTGACTAGTTTTCCCATAGGTTATAGCCTCACCAAATGCCAAGTCGGCTGAAGACGCCTTGCAGACTGTTTAACAGAAATCATTGTCCTCACATTCGGAGATTAACAGAAACACTAGAATGAAATACTTCTGTACACACCAACAACAGCCTTAAAGCTCGAATGGGCCGATAAGACACTGGATATCTCAAATAGGTTCACATTTCCGGGAATTTTTATGGGAAGTTAACACCATAGTATCAGGAATTACCAAATATACTCACTTAACACGGTAACCACTACTCGAGACGTAGCGCAAGTCGATATAAAGCGCGGCTTTAATTCAAAACACTTAGGCTTATACAACGTTGAAAAGATACTGTTTTTAGTCATTAAAAATATGTGCAGTTTTGTAATGAAAAAATTCACGAAATCTGCCTACAATTTCTTATTTAACGGCAACTTTCAGTATTTGATTACATTTTAGGATTAAAAATGTCCTCACCGTCTATTCTGCTATGTTGTGTCTCTAATTTCTAGGTGATACTCATAAGGTTCATGTTGGTATTGAGTTCAGTAGGTGTCTAACGGGATGCTCAGGAGTTTTTAGGGTGCTATAATTCTCCAGAAAGCCATTGTTGAGAATACTCAAAACGCGCTCTATTTAAAAAGACAGTGGTATTCTTTCTCGTTGAGTTAATTAACTGGTTTGACCGTAAATTACGTATCAAAACTACTGTTCACACTTTAATTGCATCTACCCCAGTTAAAGTGATATTGTATTGGGTTTTTCGATTTTGCTTTTGTGTATTTATGGCATCGAAGCATACTTCGTCGACTTTGATAATTCCGGCGACTTCATCTCCTTTGAAGCGTAGGGATAGGAAGTAAGTTTTCTTTTCAACTGTATCATGCTTAATCGGAGGGTTTGTATTAGCATATTTGTGGATGAATTTATCCGGATATGCATTTTCACGTCAGCATTTGGTGATTGTAGTAATTCCTTCTTCGAGGCATTCTTTTGAGCAGATTTTTCGTGCGCGGTCAAAAGGGTTTCGCCCAATACCCTTTTTATATAACTCATTGGACAGAAGCTGTTAAATTTGAGATAAACTCCGCTCCAAGTATTTTTGCGGTGAATGTGTCTTTGTAGTGTGCCATCTGATGTTCGCCTAATTCCAATATCTAGGAAATGGAATTTATCATCAACTTCATGTTCCATGGTAAATTCTATATCTTTGTGTACTTTATTGAACAGATTAAGAAGTTACATGGAGTGTTGGTGATTTTCGCAGACAAGGAAGGTGTTATCCATATATCTGCAGTAGAGTGTGGTACTGTCGGTTGCGTGCTTCAGTTTCTTTTGTTCCAGATGTCCCATAAATATGTCGGCAAGAATTGGGCCTAGAGGGCTGCCCATTGCTATTCCATCAATCTGTCGGTACAGAACACTGTTAAATTTAAATTGTATGTTTTTTGCACATAAAAACAGGAGCTGTTTAAATTCCTGGGGTGGTAAAGGCAGGAGTTCTGTATATTCACATATGATCTCTGCCGTTTCTTCCAAGGGGATATTTGTGAAAAGCGAAGAGACATCAAACGAAACCATGAATTTGTCAGAGACATTAAGGTTATCAAGTTTTTGTCCAAATTCAAAGCTGTCATTCAAACTGTAGGCTGCTAGTTTTTTGCGGATTGGTTCCAAGCATCTAGTAAGCCAGCGGGCAAGTCATAGTTAGCGTAAGACTTCAGATCATAGGGTACCAACACTCGCAGCTCTTTTCTAACTTCAGATATTGGTACTGGGGAATGACCCCTGTCGTATGGATAATTAGGAACATATCTCAAATGGTCTACTTAACACTGAAATGCTAGAAGTAAGTCCGTTGTTATCCCATTGTGACGTCGAGATAGATCTTCCTGAAAAGTCAGGTTTTAATCAAGTTTGCATACTTTCCTCCAAAGCTTGACATCAGCTAAAAGTACTATATTAGACGGCAATTTATGAGGAAGTTCAATTATGTTAATTAGAAAAATGCGTTCCTGGTACCGAACCCTGGGGGACCTAATCAGGACATCCTATAGCTTGAGAAGTAAATATTTCCCTGGCCCCAAAAGTCGATTATTTAGATATGAAACGAGTCAACCAATGAACACCGACAATAAACCTAACCGTTCGAGCCTACTGACAAGCATATATGATGGACCCCATCAAAAGCTTTTGAGAAGTAAAGGTATGTGACATTAACTTTGTCCTTGTGATGAAGCATGTTTGTCAGTCTGTCCACCGCGGCGAGCAGGTTAGATGTACGAGTGATTCCTTCTAAAACTGTGTTGTTGGTGGGCGGAAAGAATACGTATTCACGTAAATTATTCTAAATCAGAAACCGCATAACTCCTGAGGGTGCTGAAAGAAGTGCTTTATTATTGTTTATTTTTATCATTATTATTATAAGCTTTATTCAACATTATGTTTTTGGTACAACATAGAATTCTCAGCATAAAGTATTTCAACAAGTTTCCTTTCCTTTTACCTTGATCGATTGTGACGATAAATTTTGAATGATGACCAGTTAGATGTTAGGAATTCGGTAATCCACATTTGATTATTGTTCATTCGTTTCAATGCATATTGCCGGCCACCATGATGTCGCTGATCGTACCTTTTTGTATCCCGTATAGCGAAAGGTTGTAAACTTTTCATAAACGCGCCTGAATAGATTGTGTGCACAACAAAACAGATAACTTGATGAAATATCTAGATCGGAGGAACAGGTAGTACAGATATTCAAGCAGGCCGCCTTTAAGGTCAGATAAGTCAGACTCCCTTGAAAGTTACTGTAATTGTTGTGAATTTATGTCCAGCTTTTTATCACGTGATTTATCCATCAATCAAAATACGAGTTGTGCCAAACCAATGACGTTCGACAGGTATTAGTCCTATGTCCGCCTAGCCCGTCCACTTGAGTCCAGAATGCCAAATACCAGCTCTCGATATGCGAATCAAATCGAATCATTTGTTTCAGACACACTGGGTTTATATGTCAATCAAACAGACCTCAACACACCATAAAATAGGAAATAACGTTGTTACACAATAAAGCCAAAAGGTTACTGTAAACATGGGAGGCAGTAGTCAATAAACTGAACGTAGCTAAGAACAGTAGATCGTACAACAATAAATTATAGGCCAAAATGAAGCTTATAATAAAAGGAATATAAATATACATAGTCTAATTATTGACTAGTTACACCATAAGAATATATAGATAATATTAGTAAACTAATATGTCTCAGGAGTTACTCGTGATTTGATCTTGCTCGGATATAACAGTAACGTAAGGCGAATATACTGATTAGATTTATTTGGTGATGGATTCTATCTCCTCTTGTTGCGTTTGCACACTAGTTCTTTACCTTTTGATTTGCCTATATATGCTGTATTCACCAATTCTTTTGCTTTTCGCTCAGTGGTACCTTTTGCGATTCTTGATAGTAGTACGTTGCATTTTATTTTTGGCAACCGTTTGAGAAGCAGACCGTTTCGTAGCATCTAAGATCGTGTCCATTTAGAAATTCCAATGAGCAGCCACATCAATTTGAAGGTTGGCTTCCGAGCCCACCTACTGTAGATTGATCTGCAAAAATGGCACATCCAACCATCTGGAGTTCCAATGCCTGTTATATGTAAGGTGATTTAGCTCAGTTTTGCTGATAAAGTTAAAGGCTATGACTACGTGATCAGTTTTATCCAGGAGAGTCAGGACTGGAGTTTGTCAGTTGGTAATTCTTTAGCAGTAAATATGAAATCTAAAAGCGATAGCGTCTGACGATTTCTCGAGCGAGTTGCTAGCCCTATTTCTTCATGTATTTCTAGATCTTTGATGAGTTTGAGGTATCGAGCTTCGGTCGTGTTGTCAACTCCAATGTACGTGTGTCAGCCGAAGTTGACTTTAGGGAATGGAAGTCTTCTAGAATCAGTATGTAAGCGTATCACAGACGAACAGAGCAATATGATCCATCCAGCTTACAATTGTCGTGCTCATTGTCAGCTGTGAAGTTTCTGTAGATGACTCATACTAGACAGCTTGAGATGTCAGACAATCTGACCGATCACCATACAGCTTCATGTATATCGATAAACTCTTGGGTGTGTACGTGATGACCTGTCAACTAGAACCGTAGGTACAGGACTACCCCGCCTCACTCCTGTTCTTCTGTTATTGCAGAACAAAGACATGCGGTTTATTGCCGGTTCATGGCCTGTCATAGGAGAAGATACCTATGTTTCGGATATTCCTAATAAATGGATATAAATGACGTTGCTTAGTTTATGCAACTCCCGCATTTTGTTCTGTAAACTCGTCGCTTTTGGATACAGGCAGTTTATACTTTCGATCTAAAACACGCAAACTTTCCTTTCCTGTTTACCTGAATAAGTTTTATGTGGGCGGGGAGTAACCTACCCACTTTGAAATTTCCAAGTAGATAGTCCCTGACCTTGTCCTTTATAGTCTGCATATGGGATAGTCAGTACCAGTTTGCTTTTGTGCTCGATACTTGCATCTTGTTGCCTGACCGGATGTATGTAGGTTCCAGATGGTAAAGAACGTCTGTTGGCACGAAATGCTTCAAAAGTGGCGGGCACTCTGTTGCTAATCACATCACTCGTTGAGTTGTTATGTTCTGGAACTTCAAAGACTATCTTTTCAATTTCCAATTTCGAATATCATAGTCTGAATAATTAGAGCTGCTTTCGAGTTTTTGCTTTCTTTCGTTATTGAAGCACAGTAGATCTATCTACTTGTAATTTACGATCCAAGTAGCAATGGAACCAAAATTCATTTGCAAATTACTATCAATCAACCCAGATACCGTTCTAATGATAATTATAACAATTACAGAACAAAATTTCAATTGCTAGGTTTTGGGAGCAAATCTTCCAAATACTAGACCAAACACAAAGAGAAGAGAAAATGTCCGGGATCAAAGATACTGTAAGATCCAAACTACGCTTGAACTGCTGGACAGCTGCCTGGATGAGTTAGATATGCGCCCACGCCCGTTTGAAACCAAAAACAAAGTAATTGGGTAAGATAGCGGTTCTATAATTTATCATAAATTTAAGTGTACATTATTACCCAAACAAATATAACCACTCAGTTATCCAACCAATAATTGTTCAATTGATCGAATCTAAACTACAATAAATAAGAAAGTTGATAAAGGATGCAAGAAAATTACCAATCACCAAAAATAACCGTTATTCTATCCTGTCTGGATAGATCACGTACAGATTCGTTCAGATGAACACATTTAGATTTATGTAATAGTATACAGAGT